GTGCCGCCTCGCCCGAACGCAGGGGGGGGGGGGGGGGGGGGGGGGGCTAACGTGTCCCTGCAACCATTTGCAATAGGTTGTTTGCATGCAGCTGCCCCATGCAAGCAGCAAACCTCCCTGGCTGGAGCTGACCCCAAACTCCTGGCACCCTGAGGCATCCCTGTGGCCTCATGCTTTACAGCATCTGTCTGGCTGTGGGCAGAACCAGTGCCACCTCAGGCTGCTACATTGGTGCTTTATTTCCTGGGGGGGTCTCCTTTTCCCTCATGAGGAGGACCCAGGGCCTCTCCTTGCTGTGGCTGCTGAGATGCCAATAGGGCCAGGCAGGCTGGAGGTACCCATGTATCTCTCTCTCTCTCTCTGGCATGGGTGTTGGGATGGGGATGCTGGGCTGTGACCCTCCAGGTGAGGGGCAGCCATTCTGTAGCTACTGGCTGAGCTGGGCACTGCTGCTGCCGTTGTAGGATCAACAGGATGATGATGATGCAGAAATGGGCCTGACAGAAGGGGAAGGTGAGGAGGAGGAGAAGGAGCCGGAGAACCTAGGCAAGCTGCAGTTCTCACTGGACTACGATTTCCAGGCAAACCAGGTGATGAAGGGGCTGGGGCTTGCTTAAGGAAATGCAGGAGTGGGGTTTGCCTGACGGGGGGAAGATTTGGAAAGGCGAAATCTCCCTGTCCCATCTCGGTGCTGCCTCATGGGATGCCCTGCCCTGTTATGCCGGAGGCGAGTATCCAGGACCTGACATGGGGTCAAGGACTTCAGCGCATAGCTGGGCTGTCTCACTGAAAACTCCCCTCTTCCTTCCCAGCTGACAGTGGGGATCCTCCAAGCCGCTGAACTGCCAGCTCTGGACATGGGTGGCACCTCAGACCCGTACGTCAAGGTGTTCCTACTTCCTGACAAGAAGAAGAAATATGAGACCAAAGTGCAAAAGAAGACGCTCAACCCTGCCTTCAATGAGACCTTCACCTTCAAGGTGAGCCCCTTTGTTTCCCACAACATGGGACTGTGTCTCCCACTCCATTCTCCCCTTGTTTGTTGGCCCTTCCTGTTAAGAGTGGGTGCTCCCTGGCCTGGGCTCCTCTGAGCCCATTGCCACCCTGGTGGCCCTTTTCGTGCAGGTCCCCTACCAGGAGCTGGGCGGGAAGACACTGGTGATGGCCATCTATGACTTCGATCGCTTCTCCAAGCATGACATCATTGGTGAAGTGAAAGTGCCCATGAACACAGTGGACCTGGGCCAGCCCATTGAGGAGTGGCGGGACCTGCAGAGTGGTGAGAAGGAGGAGGTGAGAGTTGAGCCAGTGTTAGGCCCTCAGCCAGCTCACACCCTTGCCCTGCAGAGCTGAGCTGTGGGGTGGCCCTGGCCACTGGGTGAACCCTGCTTTCTGGGCCATTCCACAGTTCTCAGGATTGCACTAGCTGCAGGGTCCCACCTGAATGCCAGGGTATTTCAGTGCCAAGCCCTGGGCAGGATCCGGCCCTGTTGGTCCTTTGTGCAGAAGCCTTTCTTTAAGAAAAATGAAGAGTATCAATGTCTAGGTGCTGTGCTGGGACTGGCCTGTCCCAGAAACGAGTAATCAAACCCTTGTGCCGGGACATGGGGTGCCAGCTCATGCCTGCTCATTCGTGCAGGCTTGAAGATTAAGCCAGGTTTGGGAGGAACTGCATGCAGGACTGTATCCTGGCTCTGCAGTATTATGCTGGCAAGGCTTTGATATCCTCTTCCTGCTCTGCTTGGCAGCCAGAGAAGCTAGGAGATATCTGCATCTCCCTCCGGTATGTGCCCACTGCTGGGAAACTCACTGTATGCATCCTGGAGGCCAAGAACCTGAAGAAGATGGACGTTGGGGGTCTCTCAGGTGGGTGCAGGCTCAGGGTCATCCTGCTCTTGGGAACATGAGCCCTCCTGCCCCGCCATGGTGTCTGTCTTGCAGGGCTCGGGGTAGCTATCTCCAGAGCCTGAGGTCTCCTGTGTTGGAGGCAGCTGAAGGTCTGGTTGTGGGTAAGGGGTGAGGAGAGAGGAGGTGGTGGGATGAGCCTCCTGTCCTTCAGAAGGACATATTGAGTGAGGTGTGCTGGCAGGTTTGGGGCCAGGATGCGGCATGATCTGGGTGGTGAAAAATGCTCTTCTGCCATCTCCTTGCCTTGGGGATGCGGACTTCAGTCGGTGGCACATTCTATGCTAGAAGAGACTTCTCAAATCCATTCCAGGCTGAGCTCTCTGCCCAGGAGTCCTCATCTCTTTCCAGACCTGGCTTAACCACAAGAACAGTAGTATTTGCATGACCAGAAAGGTTGAGCTTTATTGCTAGGGGTCCTGCTCCGGAAATGTGAGGCAGGTGAAAAGTAGCATGTAGGCCAACACCCATCAGTCTCACTCCACCATCTCCAGCTCTCCTACAAGGAGACCCACAGTACATGGGATGCAGAAAAGCCCCATTCCTTTGCCAGTTGCTCCTATAGATCCTCTCCAGCCCAAATATTTTGGCATTGGCCTCCAGCCACCAGCCTCAGACCACCTTTTTCTGCCAGACAGCAGTGCCCAGGAGGTGCCCAGAGTCAAGCAAAGAGAAGGGCCTTGCTTACACCACTATTGTGAGAACTGGCCAGGACTCCTTCCCTCACGGTGCAGCTTTTCCTGGGCTGGGACCTGTCCCAGGGCATCCCATGGGCATCCCTGGCTGACACATCTTCCTGCTCCCCTAGATCCCTATGTGAAGATCCACCTGCTGCAGAATGGCAAGAGGTTGAAGAAGAAGAAGACCACAGTCAAGAAGAAGACCTTGAACCCCTACTTCAACGAGTCCTTCAGCTTCGAGATCCCCTTCGAGCAGATACAGGTTCATATGATGACTTTCTTGGGGAGGATGGGGGTTAGGGAGACCCTACCTGGTCCTGTGGCTGCCCTGGGCACCTCTTGCTGTGGGAGCTTCCTGAGGCTGGACAGGGGGTCTGGCCACTTCTTGGCATCTGGGTGCCCTGTGGAGATCCTGGTCTGGCTGCTCATGAAATAAGGCCTGTCTCAACCTGAACTGGGGCAGATGCTGAGGGTGGCTGGGGCAGAGGTGGGAGGCTGGGCAGCACCCATGGGAAAGGCAACCGCAAACCCAGGCCCCAGCTCATGGCAGGAGCAGGGCTTTCCTCTGCTGCTGGTCCCATAGTGCCCGCCTCAGTGCTGAGCAGCAGGCGTAGCAGGGACCTAAGGTGGTCCTGGGGGTATTTTGGACATTTGGTAAGTGCCCAAGCTTCCCTGGACAGAGATGGTGTCACTGCACATGTGTTGGGTGCCCTGCACTCAGCAAGCCCCTGCCAGTCTGTCTTGCCCCTCCATGGCCCACCTCAGCCTCTGCACTTGCCTCTCTTGGCCCACCCCCAGCCTCAGCAAGCCACCATAGCCCATGACTCATACTCTGCCCCACGCTGCCCCTTGGTACCCTCTCCCAGATTGCCATGTTAGGATGAGCTGGGCCCAGCTGTGGCCTGTAGGCCCTGGGCTCCTTGGGGAAGGAAGCTGAGGACACTGTGGACATGGAGGGGACCCTGTCCTTAATATGGGTCATAGTGGGGCTCAGCCTTTCAGCATCCCTGGGACCCCTGCAGAGCCACTCCAGGGCCCAAGCCAGGCCTTGCAGGCAGCATGGAGGATGTGGAGCAAGCACGGCCTCTGTGCCTTTCCATGCCTCTAAAGAAGGCTTCCTCCTTTAGAAAGTGCAGGTCGTCATCACAGTCCTGGATTATGACAAGCTGGGGAAGAATGAAGCCATCGGCAAGATATTCACAGGCTGCAACTCTACGGGCACGGAGCTGCGGCACTGGTCCGACATGTTGGCCAACCCCCGGCGGCCCATTGCCCAGTGGCACTCACTGAAGCCAGAGGAGGAAGTAGATGCAGCTCTTGGGAAAAACAAATAGGAAGATCTGCTGGCCGGCACAGCATGGGCCTGTGGACATTTTAAGCGACCCCAAGCTATTGATACCTCAGTTACGCAACCTTTGGTTTTATTTTTTGTTTGAAGCTGAAATACCCTTTGAAGGCTGTGGAAGGGTTTTCAGACAGTCCCAATAGCTTCCAGGGGAAGAGGTTAAAGACATGGATGGTTCTTTTTGTTCTTCAGCACTGCTCCTTTCTGCTGCATGTCCCATTGCCTCCACACACCACCCCTTCCAGGGTGCAAAGCAACTGTCAGTCCTGGGGTCTTCTCAGGTCGCAGCATCACCAGCCCACAGCAACGTTTCCTCCATCCTTCTTCTTGGGTTCACATGGAGAACTGTCGAACGTTGCATGGAGATGATACCAGAGCCTGATAATGTGAGATGACCAGATCCACTGTGCTTGCTTTGGGCATGCATACCTGTGTGGACATCAAAATGGTGGAGAGACCTGGATGCCTCCCCTCTCCTGCTCTGCCTACCTTCACCCTTCGCAGTTTGGAAGGGCAAGAGACGTGGTGTTCGGATGGGAACTGCCAAGTCCCCTAGCCATCTTCAGGTTTAGCTTTTTCTGGTGAGAGGTGTGCAGAGATTGTGGGAGCCTGCTGCAGATTGGTATTGTGGCAGGGTACTGAGGCTTCTCAGCCCCATCCGACCGGGGAGATGATGTTGCAGCAGGCCTCGTATGGGATGCTAGTTTGAGCGCAGGTGACCCCCCGACGCCTTGCTTTGAGGAAAGGCATAATGGGCTGTGCATGCAACGGCTGCACCAGGTAGGCACATGGGGCCCACCAGACGGAGCTGTGTGCTCCCTCTGGCTGACCAGGTGCCCCTGTGAACTGCCACCGCCTCTGCTGAGTACTGTCACATCACCAGAGGCAAAACAAGGACAGCTCTGGGATGATTTGCATGTATTTCCCATCATGCTTTGCACTGCCATATGTCTTCTGAAGACCCTTGATTAAAACCTGTGGATCTAGATGCTTCCACAAGGAAGGTTTCCACTGAGAGGTCTCCAAACGCAAGGAATGGGAGCAGGCAGACCCACACTGCAGGGCTGAGCTTGGCCCTGTGCATGCCAGTAGCCGTCCCTGTAAGCCATGGCCACCCCAAAGGCTAAGAACATGTCCCCAAGGTGAGGCCCTGCTGTCCAGGTCTGCCCCTCCAGGCAGCCCTGGAGGATGCTGCCAGAGAGCTGCACCCCCCTCCCCCCCAACCCCGGGCAACCCCAGTGCAGCCCCAACCCTCTGCCCTTGAGTGGCCACAGTCCCATGGAGCTCCTGCTGCACTGCAGCATCCCATCACTGAGGCAGCAACAGTGGAAGGAGTGAGCAAGCCCATGCCCAACAAGGGACCAAAGACTCCCCCCTCCCCCCAACCCCAGCAAGCAGCTGCTCCACACAAGGCTGTCGGTTGCCAAATGCACCCCTGCTCCTTTACCCCTTGGGGGTAGAAGCCATATCCATGTTGCTAATATGGGCCCTGGTTGGGAGAGAGCTTCTCTGGGCTGCCTCTTCCCCCATGGCAGCACATCTCGCTCTCCTTGCACATCCTGCACCAAGCATATTAGCTGGAAAGCTAATGTCAGTCGCTGCTGCAGGAGGAGGAACCATCAGGTCTGCTCAGTTCAGCCTGGTACTGGAGCACTGACCGAGTGAGCTGTTGTCCCCATATTGGCTCCGATTCCCCAGAGGCCTTGCACTCACCGTGCTTTGTTTTGCTGTCCTGGATGCTGGCTGCTTCCTTCATCCTTTGAGCCTGCAGCTGCTCTAAGGTCCCTCCTGGTGTTCACCCTAGCATCCAGTCTTCCTGCAGAAATAGTCCAAGGAGCTGTGGGGTCCCTTGAGTCTCGGCTACCCCTTTGGGGATGAGCTGGCTGGACCTGTGGCTGAGGTCCCTTGAGCCAGCCCTCCCCTCGCAAGGACTGCTCAAGTTTATGGCAAAGAATCCTGGCAGGGAGAGCCTGGTCTGAGTGGCCTTAATGCTTGGGATTTTTACACTGGGTTGCACAATCAAGTAGCTACCAACAATGCCTTTTTAGCAAGCAGGACTAGCATTGCAGAAACAGAGCTTTGGGATGGAGGTGGGGATGCCCCAGGCATTGGGGACATCTCCCTGGGGGACAAGCGCACCACCTTGCACAAGGTGGCCAGCCCCACTCGTGCCAGGGGCTGGGACCTTGGTGCATGGCACTCAGCAGTCTGAGCTGGGGGACCAAGTGCCAAAGCTAAGCTCATCCCCACATCATCAGATGCTTCTGCAGTCCCTCCCCTCCCCCCTCCTGCTCTGTGACACCCACTTCCATCCAGGCCTGGCCCTGGGGCCCCAGCTCTCCCTCAGGGCAAACACGTGGGGCTACTGCCCCCAGGCTTGGGCGTTCCCTCCCTGTGTTTGATGCTGGGGAGGCTGAAGTTAAAAATAACGGTACCCTCTGCTTCCCTCACCTCCTTCCCCATGGAAGGACCACAGCCCCCATGCAGAGGTGGAGGGACCTGGGCGCTTCAGCCTGGGGAGGAGGAGAAGAGGCCGAGGGAGATGTGATCAGTGGCTGAGGGGCAGGTACAGATGATGGAGGCAGACTTGGTGGAAGGCAGGCAGCAGCCACAGGTTGCAGCTCAGGAGGTTCAGGTTGGGCAGCAGGACAAGGCTCTCTCTGGGAGGGAGGTGCAGCCCTGGGGCAGGTCTACAAAGGGGAGGGAATCTCCACCTTGGAGGATTTCAAAGCTCGGTTAGGCAAAGCCACTGCCCAGTGTTGGGAATAATCCTGCTCTGAGCAGGAGGTTAGACCAGAGACCTCCAGGAACCACTGGTTAGACCAGAGACCTCCAGGAACTGCTTCCACTACCACCTCCCACTGCACTTGGTCCATGTCCCTGGGCTTTTAACTGCTCCAAGGAGCCCCCTGCTTTCCCCACAGTGCTGCTGTCAGCCTAAGCTGGGGCTGCAGCATCTCCCAGTGCCACCCTCGGCTCCAAGCAGGGGGAGCTCCTGGCACAGCTGGTGGGCCACGATGGGGGTCCAAAGGGCTGGGCAAAGAAGGTCCCTGTGCAGGCAGCCTCACCAGGCTGGCTGGGCACTCCCTGATCCCCCCCCACTGGGGCTGGGGCTGCACATGAGGTTATCGGGGCTTTGTAGGTCGTGCTGTAGGATGGCAGTGGCACAGAAACAAGGGCGGCGCGGCAGGTCCTGCTATGGCCAGGCAGAGTGGGAAAGTGAGGGGGGACCCACAGGGTGAGCTGAGGCTTTAATTAGTCCCCTTTGCCCGACAGCTGTGTCAGAGTGCAAGCAAGGCCCTGCTTGGGGCTGCCCAGCCTGTGTAGCCAGAGGGAGAAGAAAACACTGATTTTTTTTTTTTTTAATTAGACAGCTGGAGAGCTGAGGCAGTGGATGCTGCTGATGCCACCCGTCTGAGGGCACTTGCAGGAATCATTGTCTTGAATCAGTCTCACTGCAGAGTCCTGTGCAGCTGGGCGCCGGGGTTTTGCTTGGCTTACGTTTATATGGGGGGAGCAAGGGGAGAAACAACTCTTAAGAGCTCTAAAATCTTCCTGTTAGCGTTATGTGAGCGTGCATGGGCCCGTATCTTTCCATGGGCAGCAGGCAGGATGTGCATGAACACTGATACACACACACACACACACACACACACGCACGCACACGCACACACGCACATGCTCCACCGCATTGCCCAGGGGTCTTGCAGGTCCCGCTTTGCCTGCGAGAGCAGAATCCTGATCCTGCTCTTTTCCATTCGGACTCTAAGCCTCGGAGGGAGGGGGGGACTGTGACTTTAATACATAATAATTCTTTTTTTTTTAATGAAAACGGGGAATACAACCAACATATTAAAGCCATCTGCGCTGCCTCTGATCCCCCCTTAGTTGTGTATAGTTAAATATATGAAGACATAGATATATATACCATGAACAGTGCATGAGATGCAGCCATATATAACTAGCAGCATGGTTAGAGCCGAGCGCGACGTTGCAAGCTCTGCACCAGTGCTGGCCTGCACAGCACGCCGGCGAGGCAGGCATTTCCGGCACGTCCGCTCCCGACCACGTTTCACCCAGCAAGGCAGAGACAGCGACGAGCAAGAACTCCTCATTGCCCAAGAGCTCTCCACCAGCCCCTTTATTTTCAATTAAAAAAAAAAAACAAAACGTGTAAAAGAAGAAAATACGCCAAGAAACAAAGCATGCCTAGGCCAATCCAGCCCTCGGCGGGGGAGCCGTCACCGACGCAGCCGTGACTTCCCTGTGTGTCT